CAACAGGACAAGGGGACATGGGCTCAAGCTCTGCCAGGGGAGGTTTAGGTTAGATGTTAGGAAGAAATTCTTTACAGAGAGGGTAATCAGGCATTGGAACAGCCTACCCAGAGAGGTGGTGGATTCACCATCCCTGGAGGTTTTCAAGCAGAGATTGGATGTGGCCCTTAGTGCCATGATATAGTAATTGGAGTTGGATCAGGGGTTGGACTTGATGATCTTGGAGGTCTTTTCCAACCCAATCTATTCTATGATTCTATGATTCTATGATTCTGCAGCACCTCTGGCAGGTTTGTGGATCACAAAGTGTACAAAACAACATGCAACAGTTTTTGTGGTTGGCCTGAAGCTATAGCTGAGAGTTAGACAACAGAACTGTTCACCAGCATCACTGTCCTATAAGGCCACTTCAGATTTGCCAGGATTATTTCTTGGCTGGCTTGGTTTGGTGTTTAGGGGTACCGGAGTGGGATGAAGCCCTGCTGGAGCAGCAAAGTGAAGGAAAGCTGGAAGTGTTCATTTCAGTTTCAGCTCCCTCAAGTGAAGCCCATCGACATGAAGGAACTGGATGTGGGCACAGGCCTTGAGTTGGAAATATGACAGTTGGGTTTCATTTCATTTCATTTCATTTCAAGAGCACTATTTTGATTCTTTTTCTATTAGGTTAAAATGTCTTTTTACACACTCTCAAACACATACCAAATAAATAATGCTGAGTAATTACCTACAATTATGTGGTAAAATACTCTGAGTAGGTCTCTTCTGAGTGTCATTGTCTTCATACCCAAAGTGAATAGGTTCCCAACTTGATCTCATTGATAAATTTATATATTTCCATGTTAAATTTCAGTTTATTAATGTGCCATTAATTACAGTTTAAAGATTCTCTAATTTAAAAAATTCAGTATAGATTTCAGTAAGTGGAAGGTTAAGAGCCTCAGCAATATGCTTTGCTGCACAATGCAGGCATTCCTAAGGGATTTAGGAGCCAAATCTGCTTGAAAAGTACACCAGAGCACCACTAAGTAAATACACCAAAGCAAATGCGATGGTAAACATTCATCTTATAAACAAACAGTATTTTTGTGATAAAAACACAGAAGCACTTTTAAGTACAGACGTATTGGAAAGTGTGATGTAAAACTGCAGCGAAAATACTCACTAGTCGCCTTCAGTAGAAGGAGTCTTCAAAAGGTTAATGATGTATGTAGACAAAATACCTTCTCTAGAAATAAGAATTACTATTTGCTTTAGCAAATACATGGATGGGGGGAGGGATCTTGGTGAGCAACTATTCTAACTGCTCTATTTTTAACATAAAGGTCTGGAATTAGGAACGTGATTTGTATCATAAGTGAAAGAGGAGAGATGAAAGCACACGTGACCTTCTACCTCCATGTGACCCACACTCTACATTGGCCCAGGCCAATAACTCAACCTATCTTGAAAGTCTGCCAAATAAGGTTTCTCGGATCTCTCTCTTCATTCCCCCAAGAGCTAAAATTCTGAAAAATATTATCTGCTCTAAATATGACATGTTAGGAAAAAAAAACTTACTCAAGCACAGAATTCTCAAGATAATCACCCGGATCTGTGATCCACAGAAAATCAAAACCAGAAGAAAAACAGAAATGCAATTTAATTGTAAGTATTTATTATTCTCTGAAATTCTTGTCCAGACCAGGCTTTGCTCTCACCTTTGGTCATATGACAGGGCCATGGATCGGATTCCAGCATCACACCCCGGGTAAGCAAAAAGCTGCTTGAGGTCCCACATCTGCCACACCATGACAACTCCATTGTCTCCACCTGTAAGCAGATACTGTCCATCTCGACTCAGCTGAATTGCCTAAGGGGAAACCACATGGATATTTGTCAGATGAATATGTGTTGCTCTAACTCCACCACTTTTACTTTCAATAAAAAGGCTTCATATTGACAGCTGAACGTCCAAGGAGACTTCATATCAATACAAGCTTTTGGGAAGGAACATTATTGTTATGTTATTTTACCTGGCAGTTATTTGCCCAGTTATTATGCACAAATCTCTTTAATATATTAGATGTCACTAGTTGAGTTTTACCTGACCTGTGATTTATTCCATATTCCAAAGATCTAATATCAGGTCAGCTAAAGAAATTTACTCTTCTAATTAGCTAGATTTACAAGACCCAGCAGCACTGGCATTCCCCCAAGGGTCTTAATACTATCCTAGCAGAAGCTGACTGCTGAAGAGAACTGAAATGATATACAAATGACTAGAATTAATTTAGACCAGCATTTTTAGATTCCTGCTCTGGATTAATAAAATAGTGATCCACCTCTCTTAACAGAGGTGGTGTTTATTTTCATCATCCATCCTGAAACTGCCTATGACAAATTCAATGGCTTATACCCTGATTTTGTATGCATCATGGGGACTGATGGCAAATCTAAACTTGAAATCTTTATTTGGGATCCAGGTCATGGAGAAAGATGGGGTATCTTTGGGTTTCAGAGTGAAGATTTCTTGAAACAGAAGTCTTCAATCTATTTGGGTATTTCTTGTGTGCTGTTGGAAAAATCACGATACATAAAACCAAATTTGGGTAGCCTTTCAACAAAATACAGACTCTTCACACCACGACTTATTCATGATAAATTTCACCTCCCTCACCCAACTTTTCAATAGAATGACATAAGAATTGAGGAGATTCAGAGCAATGGCTTTTAAATTCCAAACACACGTGTTCTACAAACAGATTGATCCACTTTAACTAAAACATTGTCACTGGAAGGCAAGGAAATTGCCTCAAGATGATAGTGTACAAGCAAAATTCCAGCTCAAAGATTTAAATTTAGGAAATAGTAGAAAGAACTGAAGATAGGGTCTTGCAAACATCTCCCTCTGCTGAAGTCTGCAAGTATTTTGGCACTTGCAGTCTCTGCTTCTACAGTTTTGCCATATGCAAAAACTTGCTACGTACTGTAATTTTAAATTCCTCAGGAAAATGAAGTTTTGGGGTTTTTTTTTTAACATACAGAATTTATAGTGCCTGCCCCACAAAAAATGGGAGAAACTAAAACATAAAGACGTTACGTTCATGCAACATTGAAGTGTTTATACAAACTGCTGACAAGCCTAGAAACCAAAATATACAGTGTGTGTAAGATACTGCTCCATGAACGGCAATAACTGAAGTCAGACATATTGCACATCTGTATTTTTGTATTGCTGTACTCTATTACTATGATGCCAAATACATTCTTTAGGAATTATATGATGTGCGACACTTAGATTAAGATAGAGTTTCTATATTATGTTATAAATTTTGAGTGTTTACTGCAACAACTCCCAAGTAATCAGAATGAATCACACTGCTAGAATTTTATTTCACACAGTAACTTTAAAAAGAATGTAATTGAAATACAAACATGTACTGTAAACAAAATATAATGCTGCACAAAAAAAAAAAAAGATAAAACTATTCCAGCTGTGTTTTGAATTAAGATGACAAGACATACATGTTAATTTAGACACAATAAAGCATATTTTTCCAACCATATCTAAGTATGAAAAACTGAATACTAACCAAGGTTAGAGTTGAGTATGCTGAGCTCAAGCTTTCCCCCCCAAAAAAACACGAATGTTCCAGCCATAAATAGATTCTGTGATTGTTTCTATCAGCCTACAAAAAGATGGTAAGCACCTCCCAGGGCACAGACTCAAGGAGCCTGAAAACACTGATTTAGAGGCCATTTTGGAAAGTAGAGTAACTCAGTAAGAAAGGCACAGAAAACAAACTGACATGACTGTGAAAATTATCTAGAACTTGCATGCGCTGAGTAGATGATCACGAGATCTAACATACCACATATAATTATGAAAGAGATTATTCATTAGAGGCAAAAATCAATATGGGGTGGTTTTCTTCTCTATAGCAATGGCAGTCTCCTAAGGGTATTTTCAAATTGCAATGAAGACCGTGACAAATAATTATTTGCTACACTTATAAAATTCAGCTGATGAAAATCCATTAACCTTATGGTCATGGTTCACTTGAATTTTATACTTGAGGCTTTTACTGAAGAAATGCTATATTAAAAGGCAAATTAAAGCCATTAATCTTTTAACTCTTCCACTACCTGCAAGATGCAATGGGGTTTGTGATCTTTTGATTACATAAAGTATAGGCTTTGAACCCTAACTAATACCTATGCAATTTTACTAAGTCATTGGCTTGTCAAGAAGACAAGATGTTGATTTATTTATTTTTATTGTCTATTAATAAATTTCTCAGCCACTTGCTTACATATATATATATATATATATATATATATATATATATATATATATGAAGGAAGGAAGGAATGAATGAATGGAAGAAAAAGGTCACCCTGTCAACATTTCAGTTTCATGATATGCCCTCCAAGATTTAACAAACGAAAGGATGCTTTTACTCCCAAGTACTCCAACTGGTATAGAAGATGACATGAATCAATTTTACTGTTCTGCTTTTCCCCAGTGTAGTTTATCTACAATTCTGCTAGCTGTGAAACTGGAACAACTCTGCAACTAATCTTTCTCACAACACGAGCTTCAGACTCTCAAATAATCCCCAAAGCGCACAATTTCAGCAATGTTCTAAAAGCTGCATTTCTGACTTGTATTTCCTCGGAAAGTCTGAAAACTTTGCACAAATCCCTTTTAACGTTTCAGGGTTTTGAAAGGCAGTGCTTTGTAAAAAGGCAGAGCTGACACTGTGACAGCCCTGGCTTACAGCAGCAGGAGTCTTGTGGGCACTTCCACATTTCAAAACAGACTCATGAAAGGAAAATAAATTGGTTCCTCTGGGTGAAACAGCATACAGTCTTTGCTTAGGGTAAAATAACTTTGCTTCTCAGAACAAGCAGACTATTTAGAGTTAAGTTATTCATTAAGATATCTAAACACTGCACGGTAGATGTACTGCGATATGCCTAAGCTCCGCTGAGCAATACAGTATTTAAAACAAAAACAGGTGGAAGGCATTGATTAGACCCTGAATTTCCCCAGAGTGTCTGAAATTCTTCTAGCAGTTTTCTAGCCCAAGAACACAAGAAAGAAAATCACAATGTTGACCCAAACGTCACTATTGAAAACTGCTAGTTTTGCTAATAACGTTCTGAAATAGTGTAGTGGCCCATAATGACTGAGGGAAACAGAAACGATGAATGTTACATTACAGATTCAACACTTGTGACCTTTTCCTTCCCTTTGCCATCCTCCTCAAGCAAAAGCCAAGGAAAAGTGTTTGTCAGCACAGCCCATGGGTAGGTGCTATTCATTTTAAATGCCCCACTTTAATCATGCAGTTGCCACTCGCCTTCTAAGATGATATAGTGCAGAAGCACTGGGAAAGACGCTGTAGGTTGTTTAAGCGTAAAGCTCAGCTGGGACCACTGGGAGAGAAGGAAAACAAAACAAAACAAAATAAAACCCAAACCCCTGTACAAACGTAATTCTGGCCCACAGAGAGCAGAACTTCCATTGCCTCTAGCAACATTCCTTAAAGCTGTGGGTACTGACTGAAACACTACAGAAATTGTTTTAGCCGGCAAGGGATTTCTAGATATTTTACAGATTTGCTGGCCTAGCTGACAACATAATCACAACTGAAAGTGACAGATTATCAACATTATTAATGTAAAAAGAGGAAACACTGTGATATGTTCTTGCTTTACGGAAAGAACCGGGATGAAGGGTAGGCTGAAAATCTCAAAAGCATTTGCACAAGGACAGCCAAAGGTACAGTTTCAGAGAATTGATGCAAAAATCTACATTAATTAGGAAAAATGTCTTGGGACAGAAGTATACACATTCCTACTTCATTTCCCCAGCCTCAAACCCGCACTCGAGGCTGCCACAGCATGCAACGATGGAATGCCCTCTCACCCCTGCAGACTGCACTCTCACTATGGAAAAGAGACCTAGCAGAGAGTTATTTCTGCATATTCCACCATCAGCATATATGACATTTTGAAAACATAGGAATACTGGATTAACAGAGTATAACAGAGTTTTAGAAGGTTTTAAATGGAGTATACTGAACCACACTGGAAACTTCAGCGCTGAAAAAGCATTCACTGTTCCATGTAAATTATAAAATGGCAGTAATGAAGATCAAAATTCTTTCAAATACATTGACACATTCTTCCATCTTAAGCATTAGTATGGATACAGTCAAGAAAAGGACTGGTGCAAATTTAAAAATGCTCAATTTTGCACAACAGCTGAAAGAATGTCAATAATTCTGTAAACACAAGGGCAAAGAGGCATTTTCTACCTGAAACGTGTAATCCAAATAAAGGAAAAGCTTCTGCGAGTTTTCACCTGAAGAGAACACTGGAAATCCCAGAAGCTTGGTTCCTGGGATCTTCCATCACATTATGAAAGTCAGCTTCGAGGTGCTTGGAACAACAAAAGTCTCCTCTTGCTGACATTAAATATTTAAACAGCTTTTATGCAGGAAACACTTTACTGTGAGGATGACTGAGCACTGGCTTGGTTGCCCAAAGAGGCTGTAGAATCTCCAACCCTGGAGATACTCAAAAGCCATCTGGACATGGTCCTGGGCAACTGGCCCGTGATGGCCCTGCTTGAGGAGGAGGGCTGGAGGATATATCTTCAGGAGGTCCCTTCCAACTTCAACTTTTCTGTGATTCTGTGCCTCTCAGACCACGACTACTGGCATAGAGACTGTAACTTAACCTCAGGAAGCCTGAATGCTGACCCAGAAATGTGATCTTGTTTCATGCCTCTGCTGCATTCTGCCACTTTCTAGCAGATTTGGCAATACTTGTTCATTCTTTTTCTTCCTTTTCCTTTATTTCTCATTCAAGAAAAAAGTAGGAATATTTTTAATTCAAGGAAAGTATTCTTTCGACATTTCTGCTTCACTGCAGTATAGCTGGCAGCTTCTGCTCTGCTTCATAGGTATTATTTCATAAAAACTGTCAAGAGAACTGCATTTTGTAGTATAAAATAATTTTCATGAAACCATAAGCTTAAAATGCCTCCTGCATAGCTTTGGACTTGCTCCATGTCTCTTGCAGCTAAAGATGTGGAACTGAGCTGCCTGCCTAGCAAATGCCAAAGGGCTAAAGAGTTGAAATATAGACATATGCCTATACACTTCCTGAAGCTCAGCACAACACATGCTATCTGAACTAAGCTGAGGGAATGTAGCCAGAGGTGCCAGAAAAAGGTAAAGCCGACATCCAAAACAGACTGTCCAATGGCCTCCTGCCTTCAGACTCAAAAGTAAAGACACAGCCCAGCCTCTCCTGGACAGCAATTAGTAATGTTTGTATTCTTCAGTTCAAGGAAATGCCTACACAGTATTCTTTACTTCATGAACAGAGTTATTTTACAATTAAAATTGCAAAAAAACCTCCTAATGCTATTAGGACCACATGGCCCTGGTTAAATTTTTTCAGAATACTGCTATAATAGTCTAGTGCCATATTTATGGTCTGGCTATAGAAAGAGCCTCCACACAGCTCCAACACGGATAGCTTTTCCTGATACTGGCACTGACAGTCCCTAGCACACATTTGAGGACACTCACCCTTATCTTGTCGTCTGTTTCCATGGTGGCTTGCAGTCTCCCGTTCACACTGAACACACAGAAGAGGCCGTTTTCATAATATATGACACAGTGGCCTTCTCTTGAAGCTTGAATAAGTTTTGGTCTCAGGCAGTTTTCAGGACCTTGTAATCTTTCAGGACCTTCTAATGTCCTCAGTAGATCTCCATTCATAGAATGTATGAGACATGGTCCTTCTAATGAGGCAGAATAAAATTCCGGTTATTGATTTACATGCTCATTTAAAGACATCATATATATCAAATAATAAGTAATGACTTCTACTTAAATAATCGCTATTATAATACAGTATAATGGTTTTTACCATGTTTAAATGGATTGCCTATGACTTTAAGGGTGCCAGAGGGTAAGATGAACAGCTTATCCTTTAAAGGCTTTGTATTAAAGTATTTTAGAGCACCTATCAAAACCAGTTAGAGACTTAACAGATTTTCTTGTGTGGATTTTCTTTTAAAATTAGTTGTAGTTAATTTTGAGCGCACAAAATTAAATGTACTAAATCTTAAAATGAGATTTTCAAAACACGAGGACACACAGAGCTAAGTGGAATGAATTTACATATGTAGGTATTCTAAAAGTGTATATTTGCATATTAAGATTTTAATTCATATGTGATCCACTAAATATTTGCTTTTTAATATATTTTGACAAATACCTGAACTGAACATAAGCCACACAAGTTCACATGCATAAAACAAAAACACACAACTCTGACAAAATGTCTCAGTGTTGGTACTTTGGAAATATTAAAGCAGAAAGATATTAATTCCAAAAAATTTATGGTTTAAAAATAACTGCGGACCAGCAAATAAGAAGATTATAAACACTATCCATAGAATCCACACCATTCTTTATAATATGCCTGCCAAAAGCAGGTCTTTGAGAACACAAATGGGGCATATTATAGGCTTTGCAGCCAAGCTCAAAGAGCCTGAACAGAATTACTAGTAGTGTATATACACCCTTCATCAAACAAACAATCCAGCACATTCTCTTTCTCCTGAAACTAATTTTTGCTTCCCTTTTTTTAGAAGTTATCCATAACAAACACACTTCACCATCCTGGCCGTCAAGAGCTGTATCCAACTGTATGCTACATGCAATTACACACTGGGTAAACAAACAGAAATAGCAATCAGTAGGGAAACTGATGTAGTTGCCTCTTCTTATAAATGTCTGACTAATCCTCAGTTTTAGCATGTTTAAAAAGAGGTTTCAAATTCCACATAAGCTAAAAAAAGGTTAGAAATAAAACCACCATAAATTTCATAAATTCTGTTACCTAAGACTCTACTCCTTTTTGCATTAGGATTATAGCTTCATGAACAGAAAGAAGTGACAAGAGATATCTTACCTTTTGAACCACTTATTACCAGGCCAAGCTCAGCACAAATGGCAGCACAGGTGATCTCATAGTCATGTCCTGTCAAAACAGCTCGAGGAGTTGCAAAATCACCTTCAGCAAAAAAACAATAAAAGCAATCCCTGGTTACAATCTATTTCCAAAATCACTGCTTTCAATCACTGAAGCATCTTTGTTTCCTTGCTCTTTGAGTTCATGTTCCTCACAAATCATTTCAATGCTCCCTGTTTGCATAGGGTAGTTCTGCACTATCTGTATAGAGAAGCAGGATTGCACTACGGAGGACTTCAGCCTGCACATTTAGTAGCACACATTAATAGAAAAGTCAGGTGTGTAGTAAAACCAACTAAAGTTGGAGCACATATATTTGTGTAAATACAAGTGTGACTACGACAGGTACGGAGAGAAGACACCTTCAGTGCCCAAAGATGAAGTAAAACATCCAATGACTGATTTTATTTTAACCTAGTAACAGTGCTGAAACATCAGCCTGAAGTCTACTTTTTTGCAAGATGTGGAGCCTGGACCACAGTCACTATGAATTTCCAATGAGTTTGCAAAAAAAAGCACCCAAACCCAACATTAAATTACCACTGCTCCTATTAGACATTTCCCTGCAACAAGAACAAATAAAACAGTATTATTTTTAGATTCTCTTTGTGATACGTATACAAATAGCATAAGAAACAAGAAATTTTACAACTGGCACATTTAAAGAAAAAAAATATAATTCTCCAGGTCAGTGGATACAGAAAGGGTAAGCAAATGCTACAAAGCTCTTTAAATAGTTTTGTAACTTTGCTCACAGGTTACTGACTGCCCTCTTTGAGAGTTCTACCATTTCATGGAAATAAAAATGTTATTTTTGTGTTACCGTATAATTAGCTCATTCATAGCATTCTACAAAGCATTTAAACCCTAATGAATGTGTCTTGGACAATATTATCATGTAGTTTCAAAAAGGTTTAGACGCGTTTTTAAGCAGCAGGGAATAATTTCACTTCACAATAAATGATGATATGTGAGATTCCAACAAGGCAATAAAGCAGTGGTGAAATCAAACTTTTTTTTACTTGATGAGCAGAGGATGGTTTTGCAAAGAGACAGAGTAATAATAGGACCAAGTTAACTCCACTGGTTACGACAATAACATCATTCAAATTACATTTGGGGTTGTAACTTTTCAAAAGATAAACCCAGCATAATGTCATTAGTCTGTCCACGTAGAGCCATAAGAGTGCTGGCAATACTGGTACTGAGTGTTCTTAGAAATTATGGAGCTATATTTAAACTGTAAATACTCAGACTCAGCATGTGTACAGTGAGAGATTTCTCTGGAAAAGAAGTGTCTAGCTTGCACAAATAAAAGCTTAGTTTACTCTCCATATTTTACATTTTTATTCAGACCGTTTACATCACCTCCCAAAATGCCTGTGTAGGTGCCACATTCAAATGGCCTCTTAGTAAAGCTCATAATCTACAGCAAACTCTCAAATCAAGGATTTTGACCTTTCAAAATCAAATTTATTCTGTAGTTACTATTATAATCTATAATTCACATCCACAATACAAAAATCTTGAAAAGTAAACAAATATATTTCTTTTTAGATATAGGCATAGCCACTAAACATATATGTGTGCATAGATATACACACACAGGCATATAAGTTATCAACATTTTAAAACTGAAAACGCTTTAGAGCAGCTTGCTGAATTGTTCCTAATCTCTTAATAAATAATCATTAAAAGCTATTGCTTTTGTTCTGTATAATGTTTGAAAAAGCACACTCAAACCCAGGAAGTATGGCAGACAGTTCCCAAGCACAGGAAAATCTCCCAACAAATTAGAAGCATAAGGGTAGACTTAATGACCTTTAGGTACTTCTCAGGTGGCTGATCCTATGAACAATCACAAACCTTTTAGAGCAAACTTGCTCTATTCAACTTTCCTCACCCAAACATGGGGTAGGCATCTTAGAAGGTTCATAAATGAACACTATCTAGCCAAGTCACAAATTGCACCCCATAACAATCTTCCCATCCAGTAACAATTTAATGTGGCTGATCCAAATCTTTCTCCCTGTTGTCCCCAAGCCATAATAAGAGGAAGCAGCTTTGTGCATTAAAAGGCCTTGCTAGTTTGTTTTCTTTTAAATGAGCTGCCTATGTTAGTAAAATTTTAGAATTTTGGTTTTATTGCTTTATTTTGCTTTCAGAAATTACATTAACACATACTCACATAGACCAGCGAGGAATTAATCTAATTATGCACTACACACTAATGAAATGTTTGAAGTCAGAGAAGTTTTAAATATACAACGTTGCAGTGGAGGTAATCAATGTAAGATGTTGGAGCTAGAAGGACTTATGAGAAGCAATGTCTGAATGAATTATTAGGAGGGGCAGATAAACAAAATCCTCAAAGTAAACTTATTGCTTACAGCAACTACATCATTATAAGCTTCACCTGTGTGAAGCTGTCAGTAACTACACACTTAAAATGTAGGAGATAGGATTCTTAAAACAAGAAGCAGCAACTGAGTATATATATTTATCACAGTTCACAGAAAATAAAATTACTGAAGGAACACTCACGGTCTTTTCAGAACTTGGACTTGACTTCAAACATAAGAGAGTATAAATATACAAGTGGCAGGATCAGTGTTTCATAAATTGTATCAACTGCTAACTGAATTATATTTGTACTAAGGAAACACCTCAATTAAAACAAAAAACCCCAAACCAACCAACCAAAACAAACACAAAAAATCCCACCAAAAAAAAAAAATCCAAATAGTAAGAACTTAGGACTTGAATAGATACTGTAAAAGAGGAGCCTTGTGAAAAGTCAGGCTGACTCCTTTGATAAGCATGTCAAGTATTTAGGGGTTTCCAAGCCTCTGATTTTCCAAATAATGGGGTCAACTTAAAAGCTGGTCATAGAGCAGAACAGATTTCTTTGAAAGCTTTTAAACTGTTATTGCTTCAGAAGATTGTCATGGTTTTCAATAATGCAAAGAGAAAATTTTATTTTGTTGTTGGTTTAAGGGGCACCACTTCAAACTTCTCTAAATTGTTTTAGGGGAACTGACTTGCAGACCTTTTGAAACGCTGGGGAAGTGACTTCAAAGGGAAAAGAGTCTTTGTCCGCTAAGCAGGTTTACGACCACTGATGCAAACCCTAACTAAGGACTGAAAAGAATACTCAGTGAATCTTTATGGAGATCCTTAAGGAAGATGAACAAGTTAAATGAAATTAAAGATAGTTCAAATCCTAGCACTAATAACCAAGACACAATAGTTTTACAGATCTACTTTTCTCAGCAAAGGATATAATATTATCCTTAGCCTATACCATCACTGGGTTGCTCCTTGAAGTTGAATGCTGTAAGATTCTTAATGCCACATTCACATTGCAACAAACGTTGTCAATGATTTATTTAAGTCACAGGAGGTATATGTAAAGTTATTTTCCAGTAATGGGCAGAGTATTTTACCTTTGCAGCAACCACTCAGATTATTTCAAAAGAACTCTCCTACATTCCAATAAATAATTTCTGCAAAGCTGTTTCCCCATAGAAAACAACATAAAATATCACTCTTACTTAAGTGACTAAAGTACATTTTAAATCATGAAATTCAAGCTTCAGAAGATAAAAGAAGAGCACATCATATCGTGTCAGCCTACAGTGATATATCAGGGAAAAAATGTTAGGCGTTTGGAAACTACGTTTAAAAACGAACAGTGGGATTACAGCAAAGTCAAAACTTTCCTCTAGTTTAATGACATCCAGAAGAAGATACGCCTTACTGGATAACAAGAAATTTGTTTGTATTCCTGGGTCTCTCTCTCCTATTCTTTTCCAGCTTCGGTGATGCTACAATACAAAGCAGGATCATGACATTTGAAATCCATTGGTGAATTCCTAAAATGTGCGCTTTCTTTATTTTCAGCGCTAAGCTGTAAGAGCTGAGGCAAATGCAAGAACTCATTTGAAAAAAACATATCTCCCTAGAAAGAAATCAAACTAAGATTGACTGATCAGCTTACTTCACAATTAAATACAAGATACTCCTCCCACTATTTATGAGCAAGATAATATTATGCAACACATTAAAATATAAAATATTTGACTATGCTCCTTTTTACGTTTTATACTGAGAAGACAGTTAATTATGAAAAGTCACAGAGAGCCAAACAGCCATTTTGAAATTACTATTCTATGATTGCAGAGGCTGTGGGACATTTTAAATGGCAAAATAATTATGTGATTTTATGTCAATATAAAATCCAAATTAAATGAACCATCAGTTAATCTATCTTTTCACCTACTTCTTGCAAAAGTAAGTGATTATTTTCTCAGAATAATGCATCAACCAAACAAAATTACACATGTAAGAAAAGTCTACTAAAATTAATTTTTAAATTTTCCCAACTTTGAAGTAGTTTCCTAGGATAAAAAATTGAGGGAAAAAATAAAAGCTTTGAAATAAACCTGAGAAGTACAAATGTACTTACAGAGTATAGGGCATTTGGACAAAAGTGTTTTCAGCAAAATGTAAGTAAGTCTAGAAAACCAATTTGCTACCAGGCTTCTATATTGATTATATAGCAAGTTTCAGAGTTCAATTACATAAAAATGATAACTGTTGAATATTATATAAAGTCTGTGCATTAATATTATTTACAGATCACAAACAGTGAACATTTAAATAACAGCCAACTGATCAGAACCCCACTTCACTGGCACAGAAAGTTATCTCCTGAACTGAGATCTCACTCAAGTGATACCATACAATATTATTGAAGTATTCTTAAAACTTCAGTTTGAATAATCTTTCCTTTGTAAATATGCATTTTATGTAACAATGCAATATTTTCATATTGTATAGGAACTTCATTGTTGTCTGGTTCTTCACATGACACTCCATCAGCATTTCTTCTTAATTCCTTCAAACTACACCCCATCTGTTCAGACTTACTTTACCCCAAAAAGTACAACCTTATGCCTAGATGCAAGTTTTGGTTTTGCAAAAAAACACGTCAACTGTATCTTTTCTGAAAAAGGAATATCTGTGAAAAATGTATCAGT